GCCGTCCACAAAGCTCAAAGTAGTTGTTCCGCTCTCTGTGGTCCCGGCTGGCCGACTTTCTCTGGGGCTGCATTGGGCCACGACGCTGAGAGCGCGCGAGACATCGCCGCTCGAGATGCCAACCAGGGCAACACTCGCCAATCGAACAACATGAGCCCGCCGATTGCAAGGAGCATCAGGACACCGCCTGCAACCAGGAGAACTCCAAATCCGAGATCGGCTACGGAGTTGTGGCACGAATCCTGCCACCGTGGCAGCGCACACTGAACCTCCAGGAAGCCTATACCCAGCGACGAAAGCTGTGCCCCTTCCGCGGCACTGTTCTCACTGTCGGCATGTGCGTAAGCTGCAACCGCCATCCTGCACTGCTGGCACAAGCTTGAGGCTGCTGAGCATTGCTCTGAGGAGGCACCACTGCCCCCGCAACCACCGGCAGATTCCATCGACGACCACGCAGACTGCGCATCACAGCAAACTGCCAGAGGCTCGGATGGATCCAAGTGACCGCAATCAAGGACTGCTGCTTTGCTGGCCAAGCAAGCTAAACTGCCAAGCAGATAACCACGAAACATGGCAGGGCCTTGCCCGGATCGCAACAATGCTTCCTGATATGCGTTCAGTCTGATTCAAGAATCCAAACGATCACAGCATGTTGCTGTTTCGAGTTTTGTGTATTTTTTGTTTGTTCGGTGAAATACTCTCTGGCCGGCTTTTAACAAATACACATTGCCACATCCTTCCGCCCATAAACATCCATAACATGATTCAACATGTCTACTATCTGCACTCCAGCCGGTGTCGCGGAATACTGGCGAAGGCAAGATGAGCAGCAATTATTGATTTCAGCAACCAGCAAAAAAACACAACCCAACAGCGATCATTAAGAATCCAAAGCTTCGTGGAACATACTTATGACTTCAGCCCACAAGAACCCTGTTTCGCGGACGAAACATGAAACTACAGAGCCTGTAAACCAAACCGCTCAACCATTTATCTTAAGCAAAGCGAAAAAAACATGAAATCCCAAAAACTGCTCATCTCATGCCGATGCCCCCATCCCTTTTGACACTGGCCACGCATTGGCATTTGCTTTGAAAGAACGGCAATCCTCTGAAAAATGAGCAAGCTCTCGTCTCCTCTTTCCCCCTGAGAACGAGCGAGAGAAAGAGAGAGAGAGAGAGAGAGAGAGAGACTTTTTCGACTTTGCGATCGCAGAACCGTCCACTGGTCCCTGCGCGAAGGCGACAAGTACGCCAAATTTAAGATGAAAATCGTGTCGAGAGCTGTAAATACACATTGCCGTTGGCTGACTACGGCAACCATAGCCAAAGGTGTCAGGCAGCGGAAGGAGCCAAGACCAAGCTCTTGCGGCCATTTTAGTCCTGTGTTGGGCCGTTTTGCTCCGACTGCACACATTAAACGAAAGTCCAAGCTACGCACCGCTGCAAAGCAGGAAGAGCAGTGGGAGCGACTGTGGTCCAATCTTTATGCAAGAAGACGAAGAGTGCAGAGTAGCGTGGTCGATGGAGTTTGCTGTGCTAGCTTCTAGCGAAACCACCGAATCAACAACCACAACAAGACAAAAATTCGCTCCTGTTGAGTTTAAGCAACACAGATACGCCAAATTAGCAAAATAACAAGCGTTCTGTGCCACGCTGAGAGCACGTAGATTTCTTTTTGGCGTGAGCAAGCCCTGTAACGAAGCTACAAAGAAGGCCCGCTCAAGCGAAGCCAGAATTGCGGGACTTTTCAGCGCTACATTTGGAGTCGCGCAGCTTGCGATTTTCACCAACAGTGCAAAGCCTCTCGAACCGTCATTTGTGGGGTTGCGAGACAGAAACTGAAGCCTTCCAAAGTCCAAAGCCTTCGTGGGGTTCCGAGGCCCTCCGAAGCCTCCCGACATCTGTGCTGCATGCATTCTCCCAGCAGCAGCTACAGTCAGCTACAATGGTCTCTGCCGTCTTGAGTTCCTCTGGTTCCTGAAGCTTACAATCTTACCGTAGTCTCTGCTCTTCTGGTCTTGTAGTTCCTGCAGCTTGCAGCTGTCCCTGCTATCTTGTGTTTCACGTTGGTACACTTCTCAGGGGCCATGCTAATCTTCTCTATATCGTTCCTCCACCTTCGGAAAGCAACACGGCAAACGAGAGTGCCTCAACTGCTGAAACAGTGCGAGCTTCACGCGAACATGCTTTGATTCATGCGTGCTTTCACTGAAGAAGAGTTGACACTGTTTGGGACATGACCTGGACTACAACCCTACAACCCTAAAGGCAGCTCCATGCGCAAAAACCGTGCATGGGTCCTGCCTCGCCGTGGATTTGCACTTTTAAAGCCTAAACGGGGTGTGGGACCCGGCCCACACAAAGATGGGACCCGGGCGGATGGGACCTGGCTAGCAAAATATGGGACCCGTGACAACCGACAACCAGATGAGACCTCTTGGAGACACCCGGATAAGACCCCAGCAAAAAACGGAATTCGGTGACGCAGAAGGTGGGTGGATGGGCCCGGTGGGACTTGGTTGGGACTCCTCGCAAAAAATGGGACCCGGTGACCGCCCAGATGATGTGGCCTGAACACCACACATTGATGTGGCTTGAAAACCACACGTTAAGTGGCCTTGATGTGGCTTCAAAACCACTCGTTTGTGGCTCATGCGGCTTCAAAGCCACACGTTTGTGGCCCTGATGTCTTAAAGGGGTCACCAGAAGCCTTGGACCTGAACGAACACGGGCGCTGCCTTTCTTCTTTCTTTACTACAGAGAATTCTAAGCCGGAGCTGGCTCCAAGTCCACTTGCTGGAGCTAGAAAAAGGCTTCAACAAGCTTCGATGATCTTGCAAGCTATTGGCTATTGCTGACTCCATAGATCTTGGCAATCCCAGACAGAAGCCTCGATGATCTTGTCGCAGCGATGCATCCTAATAAAAGTCAAAGCTCTCGATTGGCTTTAAAAGATCCTCGAGATACCTCGATGACATTGCAAACTGACACTGATCTCCAGTCGATATACAAGCAGGATGAGCCCAAGAAATGATGCTGCGGACGACCGCATTTCGGGCCCACGAAACGAAAGCAATTCTGGCTTCGCCACGATGGGCCTCCCCAGTTGCAAATCCGCTGGTTGTGGCTTTTTTGGTGAGCGCGCAGCTGCTTTGGACAAGACATCTGGCTTTTTCTCCTGCGTCTGCATGATGCCCAAAACTGCTGGAACGAAGGCAGGCGCACGCCCGAGACCCAGCTGGCTGGCCCCGAACATTTGCGATTTGCGACCCCAAAATGTGGCCGTTTCGCGGCCCCGAAAACAGGGCTGCGACATGCGCCCGGCCTCATTAAATGTATAGTCTGAGCATGAGTTGGAGGCTTGGAACCCCGACCCCCAAAGTGGGGCCGCCAAACGGCCCCGTTTTGGGGGTCGCGAATTCTTCTACTTTGAGGCACGTCCGCCTGACTGCTACACGGCAAGGCGACTGTGGCACACAGGCGCGCGTCCAGCTTGGAAAAAACACGCTTTCAGGACTAAGGCTTCCAAGCTTTGTTTTCTTATGGAAGTAGATTAAATCAACATGAAAGAAACGGGCACAGGGGAGGCCCGCTCAAGCGAAGCCAGAATTGCTGGACTTTTCAGCCCTACATTTGGAGTCGCGCAGCTTGCGATTTTCACCAACAGTGCAAAGCCTCTCGAACCGTCATTTTTGGGGTTGCGAGACAGAAACTGAAGCCTTCCAAAGTCCAAAGCCTCCCTCGTGGGGTTCCGAGGCCCTCCGAAGCCTCCCGACATCTGTGCTGCATGCATTCTCCCAGCAGCAGCTACAGTGAGTCAGCTACAATGGTCTCTGCCGTCTTGAGTTCCTCTGGTTCCTGAAGCTTACAATCTTACCGTAGTCTCTGCTCTTCTGGTCTTGTAGTTCCTGCAGCTTGCAGCTGTCCCTGCTATCTTGTGTTTCACGTTGGTACACTTCTCAGGGGCCATGCTAATCTTCTCTATATCGTTCCTCCACCTTCGGAAAGCAACACGGCAAACGAGAGTGCCTCAACTGCTGAAGCAGTGCGAGCTTCACTCGAACATGCTTTGATTCACGCGTGCTTTCAGTGAAGAAGTGTTGACACCGTTTGGGACATGACTTGGACTACAACCCTACAACGCTAAAGGCAGCTCCATGCACAAAAACCGTGCATGGGTCCCGCCTCGCCGTGGATTTAAACTTTTAAAACCTAAACGGGGTGTGGGACCCGGCCCACACAAATATGGGACCCGGGTGCGGATGGGACCTGGCTAGCAAAATATGGGACCCGTGACAACCAGATGAGACTTCTTGGAGACACCCGGATAAGACCCAGCAAAAAACGGAATTCGGTGTGGGTGGATGGGCCCGGTGGGACCCGGTTGGGACTCCTCGCAAAAAATGGGACCCGGTGACCGCCCAGATGATGTGGCCTGAAAACCACACATTGATGTGGCTTGAAAACCACACGTTAAGTGGCCTTGATGTGGCTTCAAAACCACTCGTTTGTGGCTCATGCGGCTTCAAAGCCACACGTTTGTGGCCCTGATGTATTAAAGGGGTCACCAGAAGCCTTGGACCTGAACGAAGACGTGAGAACACAAAAGTTCTTTGGCAGTTTTGCGTCGCTGTGTTAGCGACTATAAATCAAAGACAACATGATCACATTCGTGAAATAGTCGTCTTCGTGATTTACAAAACTGCATATATATAAAGGGAAAACGCATGCGGAATATGTCCCGCAGTATATTCGCAATATGTGAGACGAGCAAAATTTGCAATCTATAAAGAACTTCAAACTTATTCGTAAGAATATGTACATCAATCACAGAGTTGTGCAAACACTCTGACTGTCTTCTTTTTGCGCGAGCAACGGAACAGGGGTGATCCAAAAGCGTGCAAACCGCCTACGTCCGTGGTAGCAACGCCCTCGCACAACGAGACACAGCTCAAGGGCACCACAGGACCCGTTTGCCCCCTTGCAGACGTCCGAAGCTCACGAGAAGTGAAAGGCGGGAACAGGGCCCTTGAAGTGGCACGCCAGGAGGCTCCAAGGCAGAGCGCTGACATCCGAGCACCGCTGAGCAGCAATTTTCACAATGCTGTCAATGTTGTTGATGACACGCCCTCCTACCATCTTGGCTGCAGCTGCACACTCGCCACGACTGGGGAGGTCCGCGACGTTAGAGGCCGATGGCACGCGCTCTATCCAAGTGACAAGTTGGTCTCTGCACTCGCTTGCATAAAACGCGTGAGCCAGCGCCAGCAGCGCTCTCACGGGACTGCTACCGCGGATCATGCAACATCGCGCGGATTCGTTGTCAACGAAGAAGAAAGTCCTACGGCCCTTTGCGAAGGTTGCTGCATAATCCCTTGCAATCACCATTGCAAACGCTTCGGCCTGAGCGATAATCTGATCCTCTGTATCCTGGTGCCACAGCTCGATCAAAGAAGAGGGGATTCGACCACCAGCAACTTCGCGCCTACCCGAATCGGGATCAAGAATCAAGAACCACTAAACCCCAAGTAGCAACCCCTTGCTCATAGGCGGCGTCATTGAAAATCACAAGGGGCCGTGAGCCTCCTTTCAAGCACATCGACTTTGGCGTAAGAGCCTCGAGACAACACTTAAGGTAACCTCCCAGTTGCTTGACCTCGTCTCGCGTCCAGGCTCGGTTGGAGTAGACGAGGTTCGAAAGTGCTCGGCACACAAGCTTGAGTGACCTACCTGACGCAAAGCCCACCATGAAGTTGAGCTGTCCCTGCAAAGACATGGCCTCCGCTCGCGAGAGTTCGCCACTTGCACACATCTGCTGCGCGACTAGCAGAAGCTTTGCAACTCTTGATGGCTTGTTTTCCAGAGCGATGCTGCCAAGATGAAGAGAGTCAAGAGAGAGCTGGACTCCCAACAAGTTGAACTGGCTAGCGAACGGCTTGTCCTTTTCGCTGTCTCGACTGTATCGCCACCCGAGACTGTCAAGCAGCGCTTCAATCGAAACAGTGCATAGCCTGGCGGTCAGTGCAGGTTCTGTTAAAGGAAAATCATCATAAAATACGCCGCCTATTACACCACAAAGAGTGGTTGCAAGGTGAAGTAAGCTACGACTTATTCGGTTAAAGCTGTACACAGCTGCGCACGCTCCGAACGGCAGGGAGTTACTGACGAAGAAGCGAAAAGCATTCGTGAGCGGCTCGCGAACGAGGAGTACCGCCAGCTTAAGGCTTTGTGAAGCCAAAGGTACCTGCTGATAAGCTTTTTCCAAGTCGAGGCACCGCCCTACCCACGCGCAGTCTCGCCCAATATCCGGGCTGAGCTTCCCTCGAAGTTGTTCTCCGCTCCTGAGGAACACCGCAACTACTCCTTTCTCGTCCACAGCATTGCAAATGAAGCGGCACAAGGTAATGAAGAAGTCGACGTCGTGCAAACGCAGGAGATCAAAGGAATGAAAGGCTGCGTTGATGCCACTTTTTTTTTTCACAAGCAGCGTCCCCGGTGGTCGCCTAGCTCAGGCACTACAGGTTTTCAACCTGGTGCCTCGAGGACACTTTGCCCCTAGCACTGGCAGCCAGTGCAAAAGCACACGCCCGGCACGAATGCCCAAGCGACGTATGCACGGTAACTAGAACTAGCACTATCAAAAAAGTGTACCACTAAAAAAGTTGCGAGACTACAGAGTCGGAGCAACTGCAACAACCACAGCTACACAGCACACTCACTGTACCGTGACAAGTGGAGTGCCTAGACAGCTATTCCTAGAGTGATCCGACACCGAGGATGCAAGGGCGTCCCCAGAGACATCCAAGCAGAGAGCACACCCGTCCGTAACACCGAAGTGTCCGACAACAAGCATAGCCTCCTGCGACCAGCGAGGACTAAGCAAGGTGCACGTGCAGTGGCCGTAACCGCTCATGAAGTTTCCGTCTATGTACCCTGACTCAGCATGGACTTCAAAGAGAAATCGCAGCATCACATGTACGGGTCGGTGTCATGTTCGCGCGTGGCCACTGAAAAGCCGGCTTCCCGCAGAGGGAGTAGATGATCCTGACCGAGGCGCCAAGCATCCCTGATGTGGAAGGCGCAAATCATCACTCGCTCACGAAGCTGATTAAAGGAAACGAAGCCGCGAGGCAAGCAGTCAAAAGCAAACTTGTTTACATGATCATCGGAGTCGTACAAGTGCACCGGGATGTATGGTACCGCAGGAATATCGAAGCCATCCGAACGTAGTGAGGCCTCAGAAGAAACTGACATGGCATCCGAAGCATCAAGTAGTGTGGGCAGCGACACATCCTCGGAGTCGCAAGCTGCAGAGGTGCAGCTGTCCTGGTCCGCGGCTCCCGGATCGAAGTAGTAGAGTTCAGGGGGTGAGAGTGGTTTCGATGATGCCACTTTCTCGAAAATCATCAATGGGCCTTAACTTCGGATTCTCAGCACTTTATCCTTATAAGCCAATCCCTTCAAATGTAATCACGCAAAAGGAAAACATCATAATTGAATTATTTCGGAACATCAAGGAATATCGGACATGACAGATGAACATATTCAATCACCATGGGATAGCATGCAGAGATCACTCGCGCACCGCAACGATTGTTTTCAGACGGGGGATGGCACAAGTCGCATTCGTTACGGCACAGACCGTACAAAGAAAGTTGGATGCCCATGACGGCCAATGCACATCACGAGCAACTAGGCTCAACGCTCATGACGGCCAATGCCAATCATAAGCGGTGCCACATTCCCCCCCAGGGTGGGAGGGCGGGTCAAAATTTTTCACATGTGAGCTCTGCATACAGAGCCAAAACCTTCAGTGGGGCATTGTTGCATCAAACAACGATTGCACCAGATTTGAAAAGTAGTCCACAAACTTGAAAGCGCGTCCGACTACTTTTCAAAATAGAATCCAGACATGCAGAAGAAGAACAGGAAACATGAGGCATGCCCAAATACAATTGTGCACCTGAAGCACCATGACCACTTTCACAAAAATGTGGGAAAACGATTACAAAGAAAGGACGGTGAAAATATCACCTGTTGGCAAAAGGATAAGAGGATGTCACGAGCGTGAGATTGTCTTTATCCTTATAAGCCAATCCCTTCAAATGTAATCACGCAAAAGGAAAACATCATAATTGAATTATTTCGGAACATCAAGGAGTGTTCTCACGCCTTGAGCCGAACCTTCGAGCCTTGAGGGTTAGGGATGGGTTTTAAGGGAAATCAAAAGTCACTGGAAAACGCTGACGTCCAATCATATCCACAATCACGTAGCTCCAAGCTAAAGCTCAAGTGAAGACAAGCGGAATCAGCAATCGTTCAATCTCCAACCACTGCGCTTCAGAAGTGAGGCTGCAGAAGATGACGGATGTTTTCAATCGGTGCGTCGAACTGATGCCTGTATCTCGAAGCGATGCGCCACATGTTCACATGACGGTCGCAGTTGCCTCGAGACCCCCGGTGGGGAGGGTGGGTCACAAAACAACTTGAGTCGTGACTCTGCAATCGTGATCTCATTCACACTGTACAACCGATCAAGCAGCACTGCAACTGTTCAACTAAAAACCATTGGCTCATTGTACCCAGGAGGCACGAAACTTTCTTAAAACCCGGAGGGTTTAAGAAGAGGGTTTGAGGAACCGGGAACGACAGCAGTACACGCACGAAGACTTTGTTTTATTCCCGGAGCTCGATTCCGCAATCAATCATAATCAAAACAATCATTTAACATCGACCGTATTCCCCAATACACTTATGTGGGAAGTCGAATATAAGAAAACATATGAAATCGGAATGCAAGCGGTCTGAAGGTTTTCGCACATGCGATCTGGGATTCGAGCATTCGTGAAACACATCCTGCACGGCATATGTGGAATAACACACGCAGCCCCATTGGGCGGTGACCATTGTCACGAAGCGAGGAACATATCCCCGGGTTGGGCGGGTGGGTGTAAAAATTTGCCCGTTCAAGGAGGCGCTCCCTCCCACCCACCCTTGAACAAAAGTGGCAAATAGAATCATTCACTCCGCAAGGAAGGAACTTGAAAAAGGAGTGGTTCAATACAAGCGTGATTCAAAATCGTGATTGCGAAATCAAGTTTTTGGCCACTGCCAAAAAGCATCGTCCGGGTATAAAACATTAAGAACTTCGCTCCGCTCCGTTCTAAATCTGCTTATTCCCGGAGCTCGATTCCGCAATCAATCATAGTCAAAACAATCATTTAACATCGACCGTATTCCCCAATACACTTATGTGGGAAGTCGAATATAAGAAAACATATGAAATTGGAATGCAAGCGGTCTGAAGGTTTTCGCACATGCGATCTGGGATTCGAGCATTCGTGAAACACATCCTGCACGGCATATGTGGAATAACACACGCAGCCCCATTGGGCGGTGACCATTGTCACGAAGCGAGGAACATATCCCCAAGTCAAGACGAGCGTAGTGATTCGCCCGTTGCAAAACAAGCAGGATGGTCCCGGATCGCATGTTCGCACATCGGAAAAGTCCAGCAGCCCCTTGAAAGAGGATCGGCGGGGTTGGACTGAGAGGGCACCCTAGCGTACCACCCAATGCAAGGCTTGGCATCCGCCTTTTCAAGATGGACAACCCTCGATGTGCAATTGATGGTGGCAGAAAGCACTCCCACATTTGTCGATGAAGTAAAGCACCCTTCGATCATCAAGAAAACTACTCCAGGCGAATCGCGCAAGCACTAAAGCAAACACGAGAAGCCCTATCAGGTGCTTTTTGCCACTCGCTGACCACTGGTCGACCAAAGAGTCGCTCAGCGTGGCCTCGAAGTATCGAACCTTCACAGCTCCATTGCAAGAAGCATAAAGCACCCCTCCAACAGTGCAGAGCTGAGGCTCCGTAGTTGGATTGAACGGCTAACACCGGTAAAGTCTGTGCGTCGCAGCTCTTGTAGAGCTTCGCTTTTATCTCACCGCTTTGCAGTTTTTTGTTGCTTGTTTGTAGTCTGTTTATAGGGACCGAGTGCTGCAGCCGCAGTCGACGAGGTCCGCTCACGTCAAAAAACTTCTAACGTCCTTCTTGCAGGCATAGATTTGGTTACTAACTCAAAGCTTCTATTACAGTATGGGCTTTCGCCAAGTGGACTCTTGACTCAAAGTATGGCAATTCTTTCACTGCCGGAGAGAGGATCTGTACTTATAGGACTCGAGGCGAATGCACGACCTATCTCAGGGTTTTCTTTTCTCCAGGCCTGGAATTTCGCAGTGGACACCTGCAATTTAAGGATTAGGAGGCGCTGCGAGCCGTTTAAACTTGCAGCGCAAGCGATCTTCATTGACCTAATCGAAACCCAGAGACCCCAAAATCCTGTTATTGAGGCACACAATGAAAACATCACTGAAATCTTCTGAAAATCCGGCTAGATCCCCCAGATTCCTCTTCGAAGAAAAGACCAAGGCCGGATTGTCTGATGTAACCATCCAGCCTATCAAGCCAACCTACGGCAACACAAGCGGAAGATATATGGGGAAAAGGGGTTATTGGACCAATGAGGAAAAATAAGAAAAAAAAACGCTCCAAAACGGCCTCTTCGATCTCAGAGAAAAAAAACAGCTGCATGTTCGAGGCTGAAAAATAGCTCAACTTCGCTCTAAAGCAGCCTCTTCGATCTTAGAGAAATAACTGCTGTTCGAAGCTGAAAAATAGCTCAACTTCGCTCTAAAGCAGCCTCTTCGATCTTAGAGAAATAACAGCTGCTGTTCGAAGCTGAAAAATAGCTCAACTTCGCTCTAAAGCAGCCTCTTCGATCTTTAGAGAAATAACAGCTGCATGTTCGAGACTGAAAATCGCTCAACTTCGCTCCAAAGCAGCCTCTTCGATCTTAGAGAAATAACAGCTGCATGTTCGAGGCTGAAAAATAGCTCAACTTCGCTCCAAAGCAGGATTAAAGACTCTGAAAAGACTCACAAAGACTGCTGTCTTCACCATAAAGATTCGACAAAGACTGCAATCTTCACCATAAAGACTCGACAAAGACTACAGTCTTCACCATAAAGACTCTGCAAAGACTGAGTCTATGTCCAAGTCTCTACGTGGCATTGCGCGGTCACAACACGGTCACAACGCGGTCACAACGCGGTCACAACGCGGTCACAACGCGGTCACAACACGGTCACAACGCGGTCACAACGCGGTCACAACGCGGTCACTACGCGGTCACTACGCGGTCACAACGCGGTCACAACGCGGTCACTACGCGGTCACTACGCGGTCACGACGCGGTCACGACGCGGTCACAACACGGTCACAACACACGGTCACAACACGGTCACAACGCGGTCACAACGCAGTCATAACGCGGTCACAACACACGGTCACAACACGGTCACAACACGGTCACAAGACGGTCACAACGCGGTCACCACGCGGTCACCACATGCGCGATGGCCGCGTCGCTTCGCACACCTCGCACACCTCGCCACCACTATCTATGTTCGTCCAGGCTTCCACAAGAAACCTCGCAGTAACAAAAAATGGCAGCCGCGAGAGAGGCACTGCTCAAGAGAATTTACGAAGACCCTAGACATGGCTTCGGCAGCATCGCCGACACGCTAAAGCAGGCACGACGTCAAGATCCGACTATCACCAGGGCCGATGTATCTCGCTTCATGGAGGGAGTCAAAGCTAGAGAGGACAGGCCTCAGCGAGGGTACAACAGCTTCGTTCCAACTGAACCCCTGCACCAACTTCAAGTGGATCTGGCAGACATGTCTGTTTTCTCCTCGACGCCTCTGAAATTCTGGTCGTGCGCCCGAGAAGGTCCGCACGACTGCGAGTTCAAGTCTCTCAACGACAAGCTGAAGCACAAGTCTCACGGAGTGCGACAGCGAAACAAACTGCGAAGCCTCAAAGGCCTGTACAAGCAGCAGAAGGCATGACTCACACGGAAAAGGGGCGAGCCTGCACCTAGTAGAAGCAGCGTTAGACTAGCTGCGACAAACTAGCGGAGAGTCACACACGGTAGCTAGGAGTCCGACGTGTAGTGATTCCCACTCTGGTGAAAGAAGGGCTCCTGTAGAGCTAACTACATAACAGACTGCAGAGCCTAAAAGTGGCCTATACAAGCAGTCAGAGGCAAAGCTTGTTCAAAAGACGAGCCTGCACGTAGTAAAAGCAGCATGAGTCAAGCTGCGACAAAAACGACAGCGGGTCACTCACGGAAGCAAAGAGTCCGCGCGAAGTGAGTCCCACTCTGGTAAAGGGCTCTTTCAGAACCGGTTACTTTACAACAGGCAACTCTACACAAGGTTTGGAAGCAAGAAGCCCAGCCTCAGTTGCACTCGTTGAAGCAGCTCAGAAGAAGGCGCCGTAGCAAGCCACAGCACAGAAGAGGGAGCAGCCGCAGCAGCCCACGAAGTGGTGCCCAAGCCACACTCGCAGAAGAAGAGCCTTCCAGTGTTGCTTGGCACCTGTGTCAACCAACCGAGCTTGTAAGTCAGAAAGCAGACGAGCTCCAGCAGCAGTCAAGAAGTCACCTTTCCCTAGGCCTGGTGCCTTTTGTCTTCAAGAAGTCGTGGTAAGCAGAGGCGATCTTGGCGGCCGCCTCGATCGCTCGGACCTCCCACAGCGTGTTGTGCTCGAGCTGAGCAGCCCAAGCTTGCCGACGAGAACCCCGTAGCCTCCTCGTCATGCAAGCCCCGGCGGCCTCATCAGCTGCAGTGTTGAGCGCCCGAAGGCGAAGGGCGCTGTGACCAGCTGGCGGCTGCCAGGATGGCCGCTTCCCGTGTGACGGAGTCCACAGGAACTCAGTTCGAACCCGACGGTCACGGAGCTGAAGGCGGAGTGCACGAATCTCGGCAATGACAATCGCCAGGTTGAAGCCAGCGCCCGTCTCGATCGCCTTGATCGCTGCCTCGCAATCCACAACAAAGTAGACCCGGGAGCATGTCCAGGGCCTCGCCGAAGTGGTCCCAGCCACCGCCGCACGCAAAGCCCGAAGCATGTAGAAGATGGCCGTGACTTCCAAGCGGTATGGCTCCTGGTCCTCGAGGTCATCGCCGAACGCCAGGGTGCACTCCGGTCGATGAATCGCAAAGCCCATGGCTCCAACAGCAGTCTTGCTGGAGCCGTCGGTAGCCAAGTAGAGCGTCGACTCCTTGTAGTGAGGAGCGAGTGCCTCACAGAGATCCTCTTCAAAGGAAGCTTGGTCCAGCATCAGCGGGGGTGCTGGAAGACGGCCAATCGGCAGCGCAAACAGCCTTTCAGCCGCCCTGTCTCCTGGCATTGCCACATCACCTCGCAGAGGAGCGAAGTGCTCACAGTTCCAGCAAAGGTGGGGTCGAGAGGGTCGAACCTTGCCACAAGCACAAAGCTGCCGCGGGTGGTCCTCTCCAAAGTTGCCCCCCGCATTGAAGTGCCAGTTGCTCGCCCCGGCGGCAAGCGCAGCGAGAGCAAGGTTTCGGTTCTGCCCGGCACCTCCGAAAACCAGCCTGTGACCCTGAAACTCGTAGTCCAACGCAGGGCTCGGGGGAGGAAGATCAAGACCAGTGGCGCAGTCCTCTCCACGAGATTCTGGCCCCCAAATGCGAGCAGCCTTAGCAACATAGAGCCGGCGATAGTGGAGCCGGAGCCAGTAACACAGCCCGCTGAAGGCCTCCCGGCCGATGCAGATTTGCCGCACCATGCCGAAGTCGTCACGACAGCACACCGTTTTGTTGTCAGCCAAGGCGTTGCAAGATCCCTGGCACCCGCGGAAGCAAAAGCAACGCGCCCTGCTGAGCATCTGTCAAAGGTAACTCCTCGGTCCAAGCCTCAGGGGTCGTGGTACGCCGCCAGAACAGCCGAAGAGCAGCGAGGTCCAGGCTGTATCGGGGCTCGAGTTGCCAGCCCACATTCTCGAAGAAAAGGACCTTGGCAGCACCATGGCCAGCAGTGGCCTCCATGCAATACTGAATCTCATGGTAGAGTGCCTGCACCTCCTTGTCATCAGGCTCCGCAAAAGCAGCAGCCCAGGTCAAGGCGGGCATCACCAAGGAAAGGATCAAGAGTCGGGCCCGTCGAGTGGTGAGTCGGAGGCCTCGAAGTGCTCGGAGACGAAGGGTGGCCTTGTATACCGAGTATCTCAAAAGGCGCCACTCACTATCAAAGGAGGCATTGACCCCGAGAGTTTCAAGGTGATGGGCATGGACATACCCAAGCGCAGCAGCAAGTGCAGCAGCCGGGGCACTGTCGGGTGCCGACACCACAGCACACTTTCGCAGCGAGAGTTGCAAACCAAACACCGAGTCAAAATGGTCCGACCGCCGCACGGCCTGCTGCAAATCATCAAAGGTGCCGTGGGGCCGCAGAAGCAACAAGCGATCATCGATGTAACCGTAGCCGGTAATCTTGTCAGCAAGCTCCCGGCTGGAGCCCAGAGTATAGCAGCACCAAGCGTGAGTCACAGCCGCCGAGATTAACGGCGAAAGGGGGCACCCCTGGGGCAAGCCCCGTCCCGGATGCCTCCAAGTGGCTCCCAGAGCCCCTTCAAGGGAAAACAATCTCTGGCCGTGCTTGCAAGCAAATTGAAAAAGCTGAACCAACGCAGGCGGAGCCCTCAAGTGTTGCAAGACCTTGGCAGTCAGGTCGTGACCCAACGAGTCGAAGAACCCCGCCACGTCCTGTTGCACAGCACCGCGGCTGCCATGCACCAGCTCTCGCTGCACCTGGGAGAGGGCCGTGGCGACCGAGGCACCCGCAATGCCACCAACGTCTCTGAAATTCTGGTCGTGCGCCCGAGAAGGTCCGCACGACTGCGAGTTCAAGTCTCTCAACGACAAGCTGAAGCACAAGTCTCACGGAGTGCGACAGCGAAACAAACTGCGAAGCCTCAAAGGCCTGTACAAGCAGCAGAAGGCATGACTCACACGGAAAAGGGGCGAGCCTGCACCTAGTAGAAGCAGCGTTAGACTAGCTGCGACAAACTAGCGGAGGGTCACACACGGTAGCTAGGAGTCCGACGTGTAGTGATTCCCACTCTGGTGAAAGAAGGGCTCCTGTAGAGCTAACTACATAACAGACTGCAGAGCCTAAAAGTGGCCTACACAAGCAGTCAGAGGCAAAGCTTGTTCAAAAGACGAGCCTGCACGTAGTAAAAGCAGCATGAGTCAAGTTGCGACAAAAACGACAGCGGGTCACTCACGGAAGCAAAGAGTCCGCGCGAAGTGAGTCCCACTCTGGTAAAGGGCTCTTTCAGAACCGGCTACTTTACAACAGGCAACTCTACACAAGGTTTGGAAGCAAGAAGCCCAGCCTCAGTTGCACTCGTTGAAGCAGCTCAGAAGAAGGCGCCGTAGCAAGCCACAGCACAGAAGAGGGAGCAGCCGCAGCAGCCCACGAAGTGATGCCCAAGCCACACTCGCAGAAGAAGAGCCTTCCAGTGTTGCTTGGCACCTGTGTCAACCAACCGAGCTTGTAAGTCAGAAAGCAGACGAGCTCCAGCAGCAGTCAAGAAGTCACCTTTCCCTAGGCCTGGTGCCTTTTGTCTTCAAGAAGTCGTGGTAAGCAGAGGCGATCTTGGCGGCCGCCTCGATCGCTCGGACCTCCCACAGCGTGTTGTGCTCGAGCTGAGCAGCCCAAGCTTGCCGACGAGAACCCCGTAGCCTCCTCGTCATGCAAGCCCCGGCGGCCTCATCAGCTGCAGTGTTGAGCGCCCGAAGGCGAAGGGCGCTGTGACCAGCTGTCGGCTGCCAGGATGGCCGCTTCCCGTGTGACGGAGTCCACAGGAACTCAGTTCGAACCCGACGGTCACGGAGCTGAAGGCGGAGTGCACGAATCTCGGCAATGACAATCGCCAGGTTGAAGCCAGCGCCCGTCTCGATCGCCTTGATCGCTGCCTCGCAATCCACAACAAAGTAGACCCGGGAGCATGTCCAGGCCTCGCCGAAGTGGTCCCAGCCACCGCCGCACGCAAAGCCCGAAGCATGTAGAAGATGGCCGTGACTTCCAAGCGGTATGGCTCCTGGTCCTCGAGGTCATCGCCGAACGCCAGGGTGCACTCCGGTCGATGAATCGCAAAGCCCATGGCTCCAACAGCAGTCTTGCTGGAGCCGTCGGTAGCCAAGTAGAGCGTCGACTCCTTGTAGTGAGGAGCGAGTGCCTCACAGAGATCCTCTTCAAAGGAAGCTTGGTCCAGCATCAGCGGGGGTGCTGGAAGACGGCCAATCGGCAGCGCAAACAGCCTTTCAGCCGCCCTGTCTCCTGGCATTGCCACATCACCTCGCAGAGGAGCGAAGTGCTCACAGTTCCAGCAAAGGTGGGGTCGAGAGGGTCGAACCTTGCCACAAGCACAAAGCTGCCGCGGGTGGTCCTCTCCAAAGTTGCCCCCCGCATTGAAGTGCCAGTTGCTCGCCCCGGCGGCAAGCGCAGCGAGAGCAAGGTTTCGGTTCTGCCCGGCACCTCCGAAAACCAGCCTGTGACCCTGAAACTCGTAGTCCAACGCAGGGCTCGGGGGAGGAAGATCAAGACCAGTGGCGCAGTCCTCTCCACGAGATTCTGGCCCCCAAATGCGAGCAGCCTTAGCAACATAGAGCCGGCGATAGTGGAGCCGGAGCCAGTAACACAGCCCGCTGAAGGCCTCCCGGCCGATGCAGATTTGCCGCACCATGCCGAAGTCGTCACGACAGCACACCGTTTTGTTGTCGGGACCAAGCCACCAGCCAAGGCGTTGCAAGATCCCTGGCACCCGCGGAAGCAAAAGCAACGCGCCCTGCTGAGCATCTGTCAAAGGTAACTCCTCGGTCCAAGCCTCAGGGGTCGTGGTACGCCGCCAGAACAGCCGAAGAGCAGCGAGGTCCAGGCTGTATCGGTGCTCGAGTTGCCAGCCCACATTCTCGAAGAAAAGGACCTTGGCAGCACCATGGCCAGCAGTGGCCTCCATGCAATACTGAATCTCATGGTAGAGTGCCTGCACCTCCTTGTCATCAGGCTCCGCAAAAGCAGCAGCCCAGGTCAAGGCGGGCATCACCAAGGAAAGGATCAAGAGTCGGGCCCGTCGAGTGGTGAGTCGGAGGCCTCGAAGTGCTCGGAGACGAAGGGTGGCCTTGTATACCGAGTATCTCAAAAGGCGCCACTCACTATCAAAGGAGGCATTGACCCCGAGAGTTTCAAGGTGATGGGCATGGACATACCCAAGCGCAGCAGCAAGTGCAGCAGCCGGGGCACTGTCGGGTGCCGACACCACAGCACACTTTCGCAGCGAGAGTTGCAAACCAAACACCGAGTCAAAATGGTCCGACCGCCGCACGGCCGGCTGCAAATCATCAAAGGTGCCGTGGGGCCGCAGAAGCAACAAGCGATCATCGATGTAACCGTAGCCGGTAATCTTGTCAGCAAGCTCCCGGCTGGAGCCCAGAGTATAGCAGCACCAAGCGTGAGTCACAGCCGCCGAGATTAACGGCGAAAGGGGGCACCCCTGGGGCAAGCCCCGTCCCGGATGCCTCCAAGTGGCTCCCAGAGCCCCTTCAAGGGAAAACAATCTCTGGCCGTGCTTGCAAGCAAATTGAAAAAGCTGAACCAACGCAGGCGGAGCCCTCAAGTGTTGCAAGACCTTGGCAGTCAGGTCGTGACCCAACGAGTCGAAGAACCCCGCCACGTCCTGTTGCACAGCACCGCGGCTGCCATGCACCAGCTCTCGCTGCACCTGGGAGAGGGCCGTGGCGACCGAGGCACCCGCAATGCCACCAACGTCGCAAGCAAGTTGCCATGACCTGGCCCATTGCCGGAGCTGAGCATTCATGACCTTGGTGCCAGCCCTCCAGAGGACGGGGAGCACGGTGATCGGCCTAGACCGGCCGTTGTCCTTCCACAGCAAACTTGATCTTCCCCGCGTCCACAGCAGTGGGACGCGACCGAGCTCCAAGCAGCGGGCCCAGAGAGCCGCGGCGAATTGCCACCACGATTGTGGCAGTTGTGTCAGAGCCGCAGCGGTCCAACCGTCAGGTCCCGAGGATTTATGTCGCATAGAGGCCGCAGCCGCTTTCAGCTTAGCCCCGGAAATGTCAAAACAAAAGTCCTGCATGGCAGCCGGGCGCGGCACTTGGTCGAGGATGTGATCAACCGCAGCGTTGTCTGGCGACGGCTGCGCAGCCCACTTGTCAAGCCACACCTGCTCTTGCACATCGACCTCCAAGGCAGGGTGTCGGCCATTGTCAGGGAGGCCTTCGGCGAGCCCCTCTTGCGCACGACGAGCCACGGCCTCAGCACGGCGCTTGATGTAGGTCCTTGCAGTGGCCAGGTCCTCTCGAGTCTGCCGTTGCCAAGCTTTCTTGGCGGCCTCCGCCTCCTGTTTTTCATAAGTGCACACCAGTCTCTCGATCACGTCGGTCATCGTCTGATCAACCTCATGAAAGAAGGGGAGCTCAGGGACTAAGGTTCTTACACCCCGAAGAGAACGAAGGATGCGGGCCCTTAGGGTCTGGTCAAAGGGCCTGTGCATGGCAACACGGAGCCGTGCCACCAACTTGTGAAGAGCACACAGGCTCGGCGATCCAACAGGGCCCTTGCGCAGCTTGCCAACCGCAGGTTCAGAAGGGAGCCACTCGGTCGAGCGGGGCACGGCGCGGGGATCCTCAGTGCAGAGTAGCTCCTCAGCAACATCAGATAGCAGCGCCCAGGCACGGTCAAGGGCCCCATGCTCAAGAGCCTGACGGAAGGGAGCTTGGTCCCAGGAATCAAGCTGTGCAGCGAGCTGGCCAACATCCAAGTCCGCTTTGTGTGGGCGGCGGCGTGGACCCTTGCGCATGCGCGGTGCAGTGAAGTCGAAATCATATGAGACCGTCAGGTGGTCGCCCGGACCATTGCTATGCTGCACTGCACAAGCAAGCAGTTGCGGATGCTGCAAGGCAAAGTCAATGCGCCGGCGGCGCCTGCCATGGTAAACCGGGCCGGTGGCCGGCAGGTCTTCGCCCGGTCGACAGGCATCCCCAGCAACCACAATCCCGGAGGAAAGGTACTCCAAGAGCACATGGTGCTGCTGGGTGAGGTTGTAGTCCCCCACCGCTACGAAGCGAAAGCCACTTTGCAATGCATGTTGGAGGATTTCTTCTGCCTGAGCTGCCGCCTTTGCCTCATCTGAGACCTTCAGGTAGAGGCCCACGATCATGACGGATTCGGCGGCCTGGGCCGGCCCGGTGACATCCATGATCGCGGCCACGCAGCGCCCATGAGCCTCGGCAACCGGAAGGCGGGCCACACGGAAGGGGATTCGGCTGATGAGGGCGACACGGCAGATACCCTCAATCGGAGTGCTAAGGGCAGCAAAGCACCCATAGGCACGCCAAGCATTGCAAAAGCCCACGGACGAATATTCAGGGATATCTGCCTCAGGCATCACGACCACATCAAGTGACTGGGCCCGCATGAAGGCATCCATCTGAGCATGGATGCTAATGCCCGCCCGAGCAACATTCACGGTACCTATGCGGATCAGAAACACGGCGACAGGGCCTCGGCCTTCTTGAAGAGCGCAGCTGCCGTCTCAAAGTGCTTCATGCCAGCATTGCGCTTTGGGCCTGCCGGGATCGTTTTGTAAAAAGTCCCTTTTAGCAAGGTTGTTAAAGAACGGGCTTCACTAAGCTTCCTACTCTCAAACTGAAGCGGTCACTTTTCCTTGTGGGTCACTGTGTCCGCTGGTCTCGAGCCTTGCACGTCGCGTGTGCGTGACGGCTGTTCCTGTACATTAACTGCACTGCACTAACTGTGTTACTGTTCCTGGCAAGATGTTTAACACCCCGCCTTCGGAGTTAGCGAAAGTTCCTCGACTGAGGTGACTCCGACTTTTCCTGTCAACAGTAAACACACTGCAGTTCCTTTTCACTTGCAAAACAAACACTCTGCCTCATCGCAAACATATGTTCCTATGTTCACTCGCAATCCTCTCCAAGGTTGCTCGACTGTACAAAAGACGTTCCTTTACTATACTTAGATCACCACAGAAACAAAAAGGGCTGTGCCACGGTTCCTGTGTCCTGCTGCTTCTTTCCTCGGCTCTCTGGCCTCAGTACTGCTCGCTGTTCCTTTGCTTCACTGGAAGGTCACTTCGCCGTCGTCGACCTTGTAGACTTTTACTCCTTCTTCTTCGTTGCTGACTTCTTTCTGTTCCTTGAGTTCTTGCTCTAGCCACTCTGCACGCTGCCTTGCTGACATGCACTTCTCTTTTCCTTGCTTGTCTCTTGATCCTGCTTTCCAACCTGTTTCCTTTGATCCGGAATACCAGTACCACTGCGTCTTGACTTCGTTCCACTTCCACTGGTAGTTCCTGTTCTGGAAACCGTAGACTGCAAACCAGTTTCCTTCAAACTCTCCTTTTCCTTTGCCCTTCATGAACGATTCTTCGTTCACTGGTCCTTTGGCGGAAAGTTCTGGGTCGTCCTTTCCTCCTTTCCTTTGCTGCTGCTGTGTGACACTCGGTGGCTCCTTTCCTGTTCCTTTTCCTTCTGGCTTCTCCTCTTCCTTTGCTGGTGTTGCTGGTGCTGTGTCTGGTTCCGTGGGTGCCTGCGACCCGGCTGCTGATCCTCTGCTCTCAAGCTCCTGTGTAAGGCTTGCAATTCTTTCTTTATCCTCTTTGCGTTCCTTCATCATCTCCTTCATCATTTCTTCAAGCTTCTGGATCCTGTCTGCTTCTCCTGATCCTGTTGCTGTTGATGCTGCTGCCTTCTTCTCTGCTTCCTTCTTGGCAATGTACGCTGACGATGCCTTTTGATCTTCCTCTCTCTTCTTCCTGGCTTCCTTCTCCTTTCTTTTCTTCTCCTGTTCCTTTCTTTCCTTTTCCTCTTTGGCTGCTGCGGCTGCTGCTTCTGTCTCCTCCTTTTCCTTTGCCTCTCTCTCTGCTTTTGCTTTGGCTGCCGCTTCTACCTCTCGCCTTCTCTCGGCGGCTGCTGCGGCTTCTGCTTTTGCCTGCTCTCTGTCTCGCTTTTCCTGCTCTTCTGCTGCTTCTTCCAAAATCCTTCTTGCTTTGGCAATCTGCTCCTCCTTTGCCTTCTTCTCCTCTTCTGCTTTGGCTTTCGCTTCCTTCTGCTCCTTTGAGATCTTGTCCTGTTCATCCCAATATTTGCGATCATCTTCATCTCGAGGTCGAAATCCTGTGCTTTCTGCTCTTGCCTTTGGCTTTCCTTTTCCTTTTCCTTCCTTCTTTCCTTTTGTTCCCTTCTCGTGCTTGTACGTGTAGTCCTTGTCGATGTGGATCTTTTCTCCTGTGACTCTGTGCTGCTTGTAGATCTCGCCGTTCTCGGAGTATTCCTTCCATTCGCTGCTGTAGTCGTAGGGGTACGGAAACTGCTTCTTTTCCTCTTCTTTCTCCTTTAGCCTTTGCTTGCTTTTGGCGTTGATCTCCGCGATCTTCTTCTTCCTTCTTTCTTCCTTTGCTTCCTCGCTTTCTTCTTCCTCTGCTGCTGCTGTTCCTTCTTCTGCTTTGGCTTCTTCGGGGTACTCCCCGGGATCTTCTCCTCCAACGTAGCTGTCCACGTAGGCCTCGTTCTCGTTCTCGCCGAAGTAGTCCTGGCTTTCTTCCTGTTCTTGGAGTCCTTCGAAGTAGCTCCTGTCTGACCAGTTCCTTATATCGTCTTCTCCTTTGTGTTCCTGGGAGGTAGGTGACGTAGCTCTCGAAGGTGCTGTTCCTTGTCCGTGTCCTTCACGACGTAGTTCACCTTCTAGTTCTCGGTCCTTGGCTTCTCTTTTCCTTTGTTCCTCTTCGTCGTCTTCTTCTTCTTGTTCCTCTTGCTGTTGCTCGTAGAAGTCCTGCATCATCTGGTTCAGCTGTTCCTTCACGGAATCACATGTACCTAGGACGAAGTTCATGTGTTCCTTGACCTGCTTCCGGTCTCTTTCGTTCTCTTCGGCCATTTCCTGAACCTGGTGCTTCACGCTGTAGATTTGGGATGTCAAACTTTCCACACATCCTGCAACGTGTTCCTGACTTTTGCGCAAACGCGCAGCTTCCTCTGTGTTCTTCCTGATCGACTCCGCGATCAAGTTCCTTTCTTCTGTAGCGGTCTTCAACGTGATTGCCGCTTCTTTCAAGGTCTGAAGTTCCTTGACGATCTCTTCTGAGCTTTTGCTTGAACTCGCGCTCGCTTCCATGGCTGCTGAGGTTCCTGGTAAGGTGCCTTGACCTGCTACTGGGCGTACTAGTTCCTGGATACCTGAGCGTTCCGCGAGTGTTCCGCAGAGTTCCTTGAGCTGCGAAAGCATCTCACTACATGTTGTTCCATGCGCTGTTCCTGCAAACGTTCCTAGCTCACATGCACTCGTGTCACTGCATATGCCGTCCTGCTCGCATGCACTTGCACAGCAGAAAACATGTTCCTGAAAGTCTGCCTGAAACTCTTCTTCTTGAACACAACTCTCAAAACACTGTTCCTTGAAACTCTGAATCTGAAGACTGTCCGAAATACCTGAAATTCCTGCAAACAACAAAGCTGCAAAAGACAAAGTTCCTGGGCTCTTGATCATCCTTACAACTGCTTTAGCTTGTGTTTGGGCCTTGTGTTCCTTGAGCTCTTCTCTACCTACTGGTTCGTTCTCGCTGGTCTGAAAACCTAGCCAGTGTAACAACAGTCTGATACGCTTCGCTGAAAGGGGCTTGGTTCCTATATCAGCTGTGTTTTCCTTGGTTCCTACTGGGTGAACACTAATTGTTCCTTCTTTGTGGAGGTCTTGAAGAAAAAGGGTCCTGATCTGCAAATGCTTGACTCTACCTACACCTTGCCTTGTAATAATTCCTCTAGCTGCAGAAGAATCCATATACAAGTGTACCTTGCATTGTTTCCTGGTCAAGAATTCCACTGCTTCCTTCAACAAGATAGAATCTGACGCTGCTGACGCTCCTGCGTAGTACTCTGCTTCACCACTGCTCAAGCTAACCGACTTCTGGTTCCTAGAAAAAGAGTAAATGCACTGACCGTCTAAGCAAACAATTCCTGAAGATGTTGAGCGCCTTGTGTCCTTCTTTCCTGCCCAATCTGAATCACTGAAGACTTCCAAAAGGTGGTGTTCCTTGGGCCTTGTTCCTGTAAAGTCGTAGTTACCATTCCTAATGGATTCATTGAGATTACTGAGTCCTCTGGGTGTCTTCCTGTACACTAGATGGTATCCTTCAGTTCTCGACATGTACTGCACTAGGTGGACTAAGTGCTTCCAAGAACCATGTGTTGGTTCCGACATCTTGGAGGCTAAACCTCTCACGGCAAACTGCACGTCAGGGCGGTCCTGACTGACATACAAGAGTATGCCAACGCTCTTCCTGAACGATGCTGCTTGTTCCTGGTTCAAGGTCTGAGTGTTGTCCTGTTCCTGCGACTCTTGGGTGCACGGAGTTGGCTTTGAGGCTTTGCTGGTAAGCTTCAGTTCTTCCTTAAGCTTCACAAGATACTTCGGGTCACTCGTGATGTGGAGCTCGTGATTGTGGTAGCTGAATTTCCTTTTAAGGAATCGGATTGTCTGGTGTGACTCTCCTACTTCAAGTTCCTGCTCTGTCAAGAAGGGGCCTTCAACCTTTAGCTCGTAGGTTTCTCTTAGCTTTCCTAGCTTGGGCTCTAGGTGCCTTGTTTTCCCTGCTGCCTGAATGTCATCTACATGCACAACAAGTATGCTGTTCCTGTCGTCACGAAACAAAGTAGGGCATGCTTTGCTCCTATCAAAGTTCTGCTCTTTGAGGGTTCCTGCAAAATGATCACTCCATAGTAGTGCTGCATCTCGCTGTCCTGGAAGTACTCTTAGCAGTAACAAACCTTCGTTCCTACAACTAGGGTCCTGGTCGCCAAACAGATCCACATATTCCTTTGGGAATTGACATGCACATCGGGTCCTTTGTGGTACCTGCAAGAATGCGTCCTTGACATCAATGGAGTACAAGGCGTGTTCCTGTTGTAGTCCCAAAATAGGGATAAGTCTCACCAACGATGCGCTTGTTGCTGGGCTGAATGTGTCATTCCTTACTTCTGCTGCTTTGAACTCTCTCGCGACTAGCCTAGCTCTCCTTGTCCATCGGCCGTTCCTGAATCGCCAATCGAAGACGAATTTCGTCGTCAACCACTTTGTTCCTTGGTTGCTCTCTTCTTCTTCTGTCTCTCTCTCCTCTTCTCTCTCGAGTTCTTGCAAGGGTTTCCTTGCCAATGCCTTCATCTCGGTGAGTCTGTTGATCTCTGTGAGCATTGCCTCACGATCCAGTTCCTGCAACTGGGCTTCTGCAACTTCTGGAGGTCCAGAATCTTCGCTCTTGAAGATGTCTTGTTCCTCGTCGGAATCGCCAATGTCCGAATACGAATCTTCCCAGAAAATGTCCTCTGTACCTGGTTCTGCTTCAGGTAATTCTTCATCATTGTGCTCAAATACTCTTCCTACGTTGAACGGAGGGTACTTCTTCTTGGGAGAATC